CCTTTGGACTGAAATGTGAAATTTACATATATTCTTTGGTTTCGTTAAACTAATCGCAAAATACTCAATATTTTAAATCTTCAAAAAAAATAATAGTTCTTTTCTAAAGATAATCGATTATTAGAAAAATGTTATCTTTTTCTCTCTATATATATTTCGAATAGAAAATTTTTTTTTGACGAAATTGACACGAAACTTCGAACTTAAAACTTACACTCACTGTTTTCTTCGAAAATATATGTGAACTCCACAAAAGAACAAGAATATACACTCATAATTGTACACTTGCTATTTTATTATACTGTTTCAAAACATATTAACACTACGCTGCGTCTAATGAAGAGAGACCTATTACTAATGTGTTATTAAACTATATTTTTCTTTCGAAACAAAGACAATAAAAATTGACTAAATCACACTTTAATCAGGCTAAAATTCTGAATTTGATATATACTGGATAAAACATCATACGTCATTTTTGTTTTAAATAAAGCAACCTTCTTTCTCTTTCTTGTGTTGATAAAATAATCTCATTTGCACTTGTGTAGTTTTGCTATGTCATTATTACTTCGTTGAATCAAAAAAACTTTTTGGTTCATCGTTCTTTTTCAACACAAGAGAAGTTTACCCATTGGTCTAAAAATCTTGGTTATGCCCCTCTTTATAACAGAATGTGCCGTTTGTTTTTTTTTCATGCTGAGTGTTTTAATAAATGTTTATATATGTGAGAAGAATAGTCAAAACCGAATTGAAACGACATCTCTCATAAGATATTTAATTATTCTTGTTTTTATTTGTTTAGTCACGAATGATTCATATGCAGAACTCTCCTGTTGTTGTTGTTTTATTAATTTATCGAGAACTAATCGATATGATTTTTGTTTTTATCAAATATTATAAACAAATCTAAAGAAAAATGATTCCATTTGTTTTAATGTAAGATATTTCATATTTACTTAAAACATGTTTTTTTTAGTTTTGTTAAAAACAAATAAATAAAACGAATTTATGAAATATTTATATTTCGAAAAATCTTTTTGTCAAATCTAATATATTTTTATTTGAGAAATATTTTAATATCAAATTGATTGATATTCGTTTGCGTTTATAAATTAAGTTCAATCCATTTATTTTTAAATTTCATATCTATCTTAAAATCAAATGTATATTTAACTAATTTATAATAAGATAAAAATTTTTAAATTTATTCAATTTAATGAAATAAATCGAAAATATTTGTTTCGTTATTAATATATTGTTTTATTTTAATTAGATTGAAAAGAAAAAAAACAGAATCAACTGCCGATCATGATTAATATTATCTCAATTTGTAAAAATTAATTCAAATATTGGAAATCGATATATTTTAGGATATAATAATAATAATAATAATATTTTAATTAACATAAATGATGAATCAAATCGTCGGTATATAGAAAAAACTTCAGAGAATATTCGTCGATTTCTTCGTTGGTTTGGATGGGAAGCTGAACCAATAGTATCATCATTACTACTACCACCGCCAACAACAACAATTCAAAAAATTAAACGTTTTTTTTCTTATGTCACCATCAATTGAACGATTTTTACTTCGATCATATATTATTGAAGATGAAGATTTAACATGATTATTATCTAAAACAGCTGCTATTACAATATATGGTATGTTAACTGTAACAACACTTGGAACACTTGGTGTTGATACAAAACCATTATTAGCTGGTATTGGTATAACTGCTTTTTACTATTGGTTTTGCTCTTAAAAAAGTTGCTACGAATTTTATATCAGGAATATTTCTTGTTATTAGTAAATCATTTGTTCAAGGATGTAGAATTAAAATTCATGGTAGCGCTGGTGGAATTGAAGGTTATTTATCTTTTTTTTTTATAAATTTATTTTACAATTTTATTTTAAAGGTCTTGTTTATCTTATTGATGTTCGATATGTTGATTTAAAAACAAAAGATCGTAAGTTATTCATTCTTTTTTTTTAAAGATAATATTCATACGTAGAATAATATCAATCTCAATAGATTTTCATTTAGCGATTTGAATACATATCTGATCATTGAAAACTGATCTTAATCACCTTACGGAATATGTTAGTTTTCAAAAAAATACCCACGCATCTTTTTACTAAGAAACTATTACAAAAATTGAACACGATATTGATGTATTTTTCTATCTCAAGAAAACCTATGCAAATATATCATTATAATTTAATATTAATCATTATGAGATACGTCAAGCTTTTCAAATTTTATGATTTCAAAAACATTTTAATTATTGCCTCAGATCGTTTTTTCATAACAGAATATTCATCTTCTACAAAGTATTAGAAATCCTAAGGATTCATCGATATATATAATGAAGGAACGTCTTGATTGAAAATGAAATGATAATAGGGGACATCCATAAAAGGTGTCCGGTAATTTTTTTTTCAAGAAAATAATGTGAAATGACGTAATTCTATTTGAGTTATTTTTCTTACTCGTTGATCAGAAATTTCAATTAAAATCATTATCAAATCATATGCATTCACAAAGAAAAATCTCTCTTGAGTCTATGACAGGAATCCTACAAGTTTTCATTCTTCAAAAAATTCAGCATACCGGACATCCTGTATAATTTTCAGTAAAGAAAAGGATGTATTCACTCTTGCAAAAATAAAAGCATATAATGATAGAACTTGGATAAACAAAGTCAATATGAACTCAGTAAACAATGGGTGTGATGGTGGGATATGGTCGATACGCACTCACACCCACATCCACATGATAAGAAGAAAACTATATTTGAAGGATACATTATATCTAATAATTATCTTTTATTTTCTTTTAACTTTGTCGATAATGAAATATAATTATAAGTAAAATCTAGTTAAAATTAAAAACAACTCTACTTTTGTTGCAGTGATTTTGCTTAATTAATTATATTTGTATATAAATTAGAAAAGAAGTTTTGTTTTCATAGATGTTAAGTCAATTCTTCAGGTCGGCATTGTTGTCGATTAGTAGATGATGATGCACTAGGAATTGTTAGTGTTTATAAAGGATGATACTTAAATGAAGTTAGAAGAGTATATTGTCGATAGATCATTCTTTCTCGTGAACGATACGGTAAACAATATAGTATTGATATTCTTTATTTTTCAGATAGAATTAAGATCATAATTTTTTTTGTATTATTATTAGATAAAAAGAGATCAATTCATTGATGTGTTTTATTTTTATTGACGATACAATCACAGAATGCTGCTTTTCATTCTTTTCCAAAAACAAATATTCAATTACGCATTTTGCAAAAAGTAATATTTATCTAATTTTATTACTTGATATATGATTAGCAAAAGCAGTAAGAATCGCGTCAGATGTTCTGTTTGAATAGAAATTTCATGTGAAAAAATCATTTTATTCGTCCTTTATGTATATACTTGCTTTATTTACGCATTGAAGAAGAGCACAGTTAAAAATACGCAAAGTATAGAGATCGAATGTGTATGCCAAGGACTACACATTAAATAGTCATATTCATTAGTATTCATGGAACTAAATAGTATCGTACCAGACTCCTTAGTAAGAACTCCTTACTAACAGATAGATGATTTCCCAAACTGTACAAGATATTGTCCATACGCAGTAAAACTTTCATCTAGTATAATTATGTTGCACCCTGATTTTTTATGTGAACTTGTAACAAAAGGATTTTAACAGATAATTTTCACCATAACTAAACACTATTGTTGCTTAACAACAAGTTTTCAAACACAACACACGTACACAATATTGCTAATGTCATCGCTAAGATTTATGAGAGCGTAATTCATATATTAGATAGATGAATAGTTAAAAGAAACATTTTTGAAAGTACCTACAAATATCCAGATATCTATTGTTTTAAGTGCATCTACGATATCAACTGAGAGCCTATTAGATGCTTCTACAAAAACTCTTAACATCAGTCTTATAATACATTCAAACAGGTTCGCATGACCAGTTTCAAGCTATTGCGTATCTGCCCGATCATTCTCAAAACTGTACATATTTCTGTCCATTATCTTATATCCTTTGCGACGCATACATCTCTCCTTGTCTTCGCTAGATCCAGAATATATACAATAACTATCATAATTGATGACATCAACTAACATGACATATTCTAATTTTGACAAAAATTAAACAACAACAGAACTTGAAGATAAAAAAAATCATATTACGATATTGAAGTTAATGTAATGAGTCAGTGAAATGTTAGGACTCAACTGCTAATATGAACTGATTATATTATTGTTAATCGCTTTGTGACTTGGGCGTTTAATTAAAATATTGGACGAAAAGGAAATTTTCTAGCCTGGAAAAACACTTTTTTTTGGATTTTTCGATTCTGAATTGAGATCATAGAGACATGCAAACATATATAGTTTTGTAGAGCAAGTCGAACTCTATTGATTGGTATATGGCTCAATTTGAATAGGGAAAAATTTTGCAATTGAAAAATTTCATAAAAGGTTTAGGCCAATTTTTCATACTTTTTTGAGCTAATTTTGAGAGTATATGTAGTTGGACAGTCCTAGCGAATCAGAAATCTTTAGATTATATTATTTTGTATTCATATTTAGTAGATAAGACTTAAAATTCCTAGGATGTCAAATCCGAAATTAGTTGACTCCTATAGTTTCGTTATACTCTTTAAAATGTTGAGTAAATGATCGAATATCAATAAATACTGGTTGATAAAAGTATTCATCAAGTCGAGTAACATTTTCAAATCCAGCATCATGCATCTATTTGATTAATTTTTCCGAACTAATTGTATGTGTAACAATATGTTTAGAATAAAGATCTTCTTTAATTATATATAGAGTAAAAGCATAATATTGAGAATTTTGTTCAAGAAAAAAATCCCATACTTGTAAAGAAACATCGCTTATCATTTTCAATCTTTGCTTTTTCATAAGGTTTAACAATATATTTACCACCACGTTATTTTCGATCATAATCTCAAATTGTAATCAAACAACCATCAACTGGCCGTAAACAAGAATATATTTTTTTAAGTGCCAAAAAAAAATCTTTATCAGTATGAAGATGAGAAATTAAATTATCACATGATATAACTGTATCAGAATTACTACTATGATGTGCGAAAGCTGTTATCATATGACAAACAGAAAATGAAATGTTTGTTTGCCGACATTGTTGAGCTTCTTTTCTTGCTTGTTCGATTTCATTAACAGAAATATCAGAAATAATTAATTGATAATCTTTTTGAGATAAGCCAATAGTTTGTGTACCTATTCCACAAGATACATCTAAGATTGTTTTATGTTGAGACCAATTTAATTCAATAATATTTTTCAATTGAGAACTATGTCGTTCAATAGATACATTCCAATCTTCAAATATCAAATGAGAATATGAACACAATTCTTCATAAAAATTTGACATTTTATTAAAATCTTATAAATTGAAAGGTAAATTATTTTAAACATTGAAATGTTATATTTCAATTATTTGTTCATAATAGTGATCTTTTACTTTATTTTTGCTACTCTAGTTTTGAATAATTTTCTCTCTTGTAGTTTGTTGAGTGTGTGTTCTGAAAGTTTTTCACTATGATAAGAAGAAGGAATCAAATTCAATGAAAAGAAATAAATCAGTGTGATATGTAGAACGAGAGAATAAAAAATATAACATCTTAAGATTCATCATAGAAAAAAAAGAATGACGAACATGTTCTCTTGTTATTTACATCATTGATACTCATAATAACAGTAACTAGAATTTTTCCATGCAAAGAGCAGATAAAACCTGAAAGAGAAACTAATTAATAGTTAAAAGCTAGATGTCAGGTGTAAATATGACTAATAAGAATTTAATAATATATTGAAAACGAAATTATTACCGAATCCAAAAATAGTTTACTAAAGCTCAGAACTATAATCATCTTCTTCTGCCTAATTTTACAGACATGTTTTCATCATAGAATATTCAAATCAAAATATTTCTTGTATTTGAAAAAAATCCTATTCATTTCAGAATGTCATACCAATATTCAAAATTTGATAATTTTTCTATTAAAATTTACACTGCTTTTTATTGATGATTAAATTTTTGCATATATGTAGATATTCTTTGATTTCTATCTATTTTCCTCAACAAAATCAAAACATCTTTCTTTGTCGATTATTTTTAATAAAGATATGTTCAAACTTGTGACTGAAAATATTATTTTTAGGTTTAAATAAACTAATTTATGGCAGAACATATAAGATCAAGAAAGGGTGTGGGTTGTGGGTGTGGGTATGGGGGTGTGGGTGTGTGGTGTGGGTGAAACGAACACGCAAGCTCATATTCACACTCACACTCACATATAGTTCGATGAGTCTTCATCTTCTTTTTAACGGTAACAATAGCAACTTTCCATAGGGGTTCTATCAAAATTTATTCAAAACAAATCCACTCGCCTTTTAATTGGAAATGAGCAGTAGCTAAATGAAAAAGGTTTTAAAGGAACTTTTCAGAAGATTGTTCAAAATTTTATTTTATTTTTGACATTCTTGTCGTTTAAATGCTAGATAACAATAAAAAAATATTTATTTGAAGAAAAAAAAAACAATTGAGGTTCTTAAATCAAAAGATGACCACGGAAATAAAATACAATAAATTTACAACTATTGACAAGCAATTCTATGCATGAAATGTCAGTTCAATTTCAATAGTGATGTTTTTTATCCAAACATAATATTATCTAATTACTCTGTTTAATTTTAAACAATAAAGTATAATAAGAAGAGCAATTTTTTTAAAATTCTTGATTATTTTTCTCAAATAAAAATATTGTTTCTTAATTCATTTGACTACTATCTTTGACAAAAAGGAAATCTAATCATAGATCTTTATCTTCAGATGAATATTCAAAATTATCGAAATTTTCTCGATCACCTTTATATGTTAAACGATAACGATCAATTGATAAATTAGTCTCAATTATCATTCTTTTATTCTTATTCTGTCGCTTTTTATCATTTGACGTTTGTTCAATGTCACTTGAATTTATATCTTGATCATCTGTTGTACCTATTGGGGTGTTGGTGTGGGTGTGGGTGCGGGTGTGGGTGTGGTGGGTGTGGGTGTCGGTGGGTGTGGGTGTGGACGTGGGTGGGGGTGGGTGTGGGGGTGGGTGGGGGTGGAGGTGGTGGTGGTGTGGGTGTGG